TGCTCAAACACACGTTTGCATTTTGCATATCAGATTACATGCCCTGGTTGAGATGTCTAGATATTGGTGGCCATGAAAAGAATGTAAGAAACTCCATGAATGTTTTTAACAAATACCATGATCCAATCATAGAAGACAGAATCAAACAATGGGAAGATGGTAAGAAAAGGGAGCCAGAGGACCTTCTTGACATTATGATAACGCTTAAGGATGAAAGTGGGAAGCCACTTCTGTCTATAGATGAGATCAAAGCTCAATGCTCTGTAAGATCATTTCTGTTAGAGTCCTATTTTTGGTAGCTCAATCTATATATTTTGTGCTTTTCTCGACATGGCACTTACTTTAATATAATTTTGTTATTTAGGAGTTCTTTTTTGGAGTAGATGGTCCTGCTGCAGGAACAGAATGGGCACTGGCAGAAATGATTAATCAACCTGAGATTCTCCAAAAGGTCATCGAGGAAATAGACAGGGTTGTAGGGAAAGACAGATGGATTCAAGAATCAGATGTTCACCAATTAAATTATTTGAAGGCATGTGCAAGAGAAGCTTTCAGGCTGCATCCTCATGTTCCGTTCAATTTGCCGCACCTCTCATTAGCAGACATCGAAGTGGGTGGCTACTTCATTCCGAAAGGCAGCCATGTCTTGTTGAGCCGCATCGGACTCGGTCTTAACCCTGAGAGTTGGGAAGAACCCTTGAAATACAATCCAGAGCGCCATTTGAGTGGAAATGTTAGTAAAGTAGATTTGTCAGAACCCAACTTGAGGTTCGTAACTTTTTCTACTGGAAAGCGTGCATGTACAGGGCAGACTATTGGTACAATCTTGACTATAATGGCATTGGGAAGGCTCATTCAAGGGTTCACATGGAGCGTACCACCCAATGTGGAGAAGATTGATCTCTCTACATTGGAAGATCTGTCTCTGGCTCCTTTGCATGCACATGCAAGGCCTCGCTTGGACGAGGCGATGTACCCTGTGGCACCTTGATATATATATATATGTGTGTGTATCAACTCCAACCTGTGTCAGTTGGAGTTATATATATAGACTGCTGTTCGTAACTGTGTTGCATGCGCTAGCTATCGTAATACCTAAGTACTGCTGTAATATCTGAGTACTTCGTGGATGAATAAAATTGGTATTTCAGTATTTTAAGAATGCGATCTTGTTGCGTTTGAGAAAGAATTACGCACATACATATATAATGATCATGATCCATTTTCGTTCCTCTTCTATTTCTATTTTTCAATACAACGCATTGAAAGATAAAGTAAAGCTTGTATTGAGAAATGAAAAGCAACTCAATTTACGTAGAATCTACTGTTTATTAACACTTTAATTAATCACTTACCCAATATGCTAGTTTGTTATTGTGTAGATAATCAACTTCAGTAGTGCTCTAGAAAGAATCAATTAATGCAAGAACGGCCGATTATTGCTCCATAAACCTTTATTTCAGAGTTATTTATGAGAAGTTCTGTTTGATAAGTTATCGAAAGTATTGTAGCTCAACATTGCGTTCAGGGACGGATCCATGACCGAATTACAGGCATGGCTAATATATAAAAAAAAAAAAAATTAAATTACACAAGAAATTTTTTTCTACTAAAAAAAAATTCAATGGACTAGGGGCTGGATCAGGCTGTCTAGATCCGTCAGTGACTGCATCACCATTCCACACAACATCAAATACCTCAAAATATCAAGTAAACAATGTACATTGTAATAGGTAAATTGTGCAGAAATAGATTTGTATATTTTGCATCGAGGTCTAGAGTGAAGTACAAGTTGAATATACCAATACAGTATATCTCCACCAGTTATGCCCCTGATTGAAAATGTTCTCATTTTATAAAATCATTTTCGTTCATGAATTTTTACGAAATCTACTAATTTTATCAATTTTTCGAACACATATTTATCAAAATTTATTAAAAATCTGAGTTCATCAAAACCAAACAAGGGCTATATTAATTTCTACCATGTTGCATAAGTCAAACTAATTTATATGTCTAAAAATACAAAAATCAGGAATTATGGGAGGTATGGAGTCAAAACCTTATTCATGTCTTGACATTTGGACATTGCATGGCAGTTCCATGTGTACGTAAACAATTCTCAATGTCGAACTATATGGAGTAAAAATTACTAGTATCAAAATTGTTGTTGTTGTTATTGTTATTATTGTTATTATCAAGTTTCCTTATTTGCAAGTCGCTATTTTACCTCGAACATCATCGGGATTTCATTTGAAAATGTACTGCTTTTAAACTTTCATTCCTATGGTTTAAAGGTCATGAACAATATTTTACAGATAAAACTTTAAAGGTGCGTTTGGTTTGCTATTTTCAAGTTGTGTTTTAGTTTCAATTTTACAAAACACTGAAAAAATATTTGGTTTGCTATTTCTGAAAATGTATTTTCGAAAATAATGATAAACTTATAATATAAAATTCAAAACGTATTTTTAATACTTTTGGTGAAAATTCTAAAAACACTCCAACTATGAAAAATAAGCTTTTAAATAAATTTTAAAAATTAAATATTTTTAAAAATAAAAATATAAGGAGTTGTTCTCTTTTTGTTTTGGTTTTATGTTTTGAGTTTTGAATTCATTTGAATTTTGTATTTTGAGTGTCAATTTTGAAATTGTTGAAAATGCGTTCTTTTTGACGTTTTGAAAGATTATTTTCAAAAATTAAAAAAAAAAAAATGGAAAACCCCGTTTACTTTCCCTTCCTCCTCTCTCTCGGTGGTGATTGGCGGTGATTGAAAACACCCAAAACACGTTTTGAAAATTTTGGCTTGATTATAACTGAAAACATCCAAAACAACAAATTTGTCGTTTTAGATTTTCTTTGTAAATTTTTAACTTGTTTTCAAAAATTTGTTTTCGAAAATAGGAAAGAGAACGAGTTTTCATTATTTTGAAAAATCGAAAACTGAAAATGGCCTAAAAACGGTAAAGAGAACATGCCCTAAAATTCTAACAAATAAAATTTTGAAAATAAAATTCAAGAAAAATAAATTAAAAAAACAAATTTAATAAATTCTAAAAATTTCGTTCGAGTTCGTTGGTTTAAGCCATTTAGAGTGTTCCTATAACTTGACGTGATCGTTGTATCTTGAGAGATGGTTGCCGAAAATCTTTAACACCGATGCGGGACAAATCCATCTTAAGAATGAAGTGTTCAACACTTGCCTCGATCAATCACATCACTTGCATCTCCTCTCTCCTTATCTTTCTCATTTCTGATTTCACTTATGTTTCAGAATATTGTTAACCTTATTTATATGTTTATATTGCAAGGTTTGATTGAAGAATGACATCCTTTCATTAAAAATTGGAAAGTGACGAATCCATATTAATTCGGTAAATCATTACGTTGTCTTCTCAACTATTTTGGTAAGTCGAATTATGTTTCGATTTCATGAGCATAAAACGGTATGTATTGATATGAATATAATATGTACATTATTAATGTAATATTCCCAACACCGGTCATGTCGGTGACATCGGGGTGGCTGACAATACCGCCATTTCGTTATGGGCGGTGGCGGCAGCCTTCGGACCTCACCGAATATGCCGGTTTCAGCCGCCTGCATCATTGGAGCATCTTCGAGCGCAATTGCCTTGCTAGCTCGACGTAAACTTGAAAAACGTCTCCATATTTGACCGGTCCTTGCTCCGCCGCCTGAGGCTTTCTTGGTTGTTCTTGACTCATTTTTGCAGCCTAAATAGCTTTATTTTTTTTGATAGATTATTCGAATTGTTGATGAGAAATGTATGCAAAACGATGTGTTTCATGTATAGGTGACTGGAGTAAACTGGTGATGACACATTGATATTTTAGGACACGTGGCATTCTCCCAGTTATATGAGCTGGAATTAGTGTTACACGTGGCTGAGTTGGAGGTTAAGTGTAAACCAAGGATTATGGGGAGGCAAAAAAGAAGTCTCCTAGACACGACGACTCATTGAATTCTATGTAACCATTGATTCCTCATAAATATACTACTGTATAACTATTGTTGGGCATCACTGGCAAGATTTCATGTTCTGCACATCTAATACCTGTGATTATTTCAATTCTTAAAGCACAGTGTGCCCATTGGAATTGATATTGATGGCACCAAAAATCCGGATATGTCAAATCTCGATTTGGATGTTTGAATACCGCACAAGCTGATCTTTAATGCTTGAAATAAAGGCGTCGAGATGTATCCTCATTGCCCCTTCAATGCTTAAGTTAGAACGAAAATTTATGTGAAAGGCTATATGTTGAAAATTGTGTAAAAACATTCTTGAATAATGAAAATTGATCCTGTATTTATAGATGTTGGTGATAGAGTCTTAAAAAGATCCAACCACCTGAAGTCTTTATCCTTATCATGTAAGGTATTTGTGTGACATTGAAAGTGCCATGTTTGAGTTTGAATCAAAATGTGATAGGTAAGCAGTTTGGACGACGGTAAAAGTTTTGGAGAGTTATATTCAAAGCATGATTAATGTTTGTAGAATGTATGACATAAGGACATGAAAATCATATTAACGAAATATGACCCAACCTCCTAAGGCCCGACCTCAACATGTAGCCCGATCTTAGGCTCTGCATCATTGGGGGAGGATAAGTTCGGGGGTAATGTGATCAAGCTCGGGCTAAACAGTGTTTGTACACATCAGATATTAAAGAGTATACTGAAAGAAATTTTATTTTATTATTTAATACTCCACCTTACGAAAGCAACTTAATAAAGTTCATACTACAATACATTGTAGATTAACCATGGCCATTTATTACAAGTATATAACATATTTCTTTCCTGAACACGAACTATGGTATACCAATTTTGATGACCAAAAGACACCAAAAATGGCATTGATGTGTCCCTAAACAGACTAGTTTCCCGTTCAAGATGTACTACATAACAACCAATGGGCTTCAATGGTCACGTTACACCACACGGACAAGCATGTATATGACCAGCACCGAATTTATTGAACGGGGCTCTGGCTAGAGACCTCCAATCCATTCCCTGTTTACCAGAGCAATAATTCAATGATACAAATAAAAACTGTGCTGCGTATGTTTTTGGACATTCAATAAAATCAAATATGTTTCTTGGGCTACGACTGTGTTGAACCAATACAGAAAAGGAAAACTTACCATCTAGATCAAAGAAAAATGCTTGTTTGGTCTTCCCATCTGGTTGCGCCTTCTCATGTACCTCGATTCCTTTTTCCTGCTAGGCAAGATGAAGTAAATCTAAATAAAATAAGAATGGAAAATGTGAAACTTGTGTTAAAATCATTTTCATCCTTTCTTTCTCCTACAGAAACTCCCTTTCTTTGATTTTCCCCAAGGTGCCCTCAGCCTTCTTTTTTAAAACAATAAAATTAAATAAATACCAGAAACAAACTACGCCTTTTTCATGGAAGTGGCAAGAGGTCAAAAGGAAGTAGCCAACTACGTGAGTTGAGTGAAGCAGATTTTGGTACTTGGGGACAAGGGAACAACAACAACAGGGGTCGGGGATGGTCAAACAGTGGCATCGTATTTGGGAGAAAGAGATTAGGGCCGACTGCTCTCAAATCTCTACCAATAATGGCGCCTGTGGATGTGCAGCTGGGACAAGGGATATGGTCTGATATTCAGAGATGGGATTTGGATGGCATATTGGTATTGGCTGTAAGAGTGTGAACAAAAGCTAGCTGAAGGAAAATATAGAGAGGACGATTTTATTTAATAGAATAATCTTGAACGGAATGAGAGCAATTGCTGAATATATAGACACAAAGGAAAAACTATTGTCCAATAGCCAACAGACACCTCATCAAAGTAAAACGGCACTTAACAGAAAATGGAAAGAAGAAAACGTAAAATGAAAAACACGCCTAATGACTAACGGCTACTGCTGTATGTATTTCTTGCAACCAACAGAAATTGAAGCTGATTAGTTGATTCTTCCATTATTCTTTCATCCCCCCCTCAAGTTGGAATTGGTGTAAATCACCCAATCCCAACTTGGAAAGAAGATGAGTAAATTGAGGACAAGCAAGAGGCTTGGTGAGTAAGTCCGCAAACTGGAGGCTGGATGGAAAAAATTGAGGTGATATAAAACCAGACTTGAACTGATTCCTGACAACATGACAATCAATGTCTAGATATTTGGTTTGCTCATGAAAAACCGGATTAGCCGTGATGTGTAATGCAGCCCTGTTGTCGCACCAAAGTGGAATAGGCGTAAGTAAGAGAATTTGAAGATCATTTAAAATGTATGAGATACATAGCAATTCACAGACGGTGCTTCCGATACTTCTATACTCTGCCTCGGCTGAAGAACGGGAGACAGTAGGTTGCTTTTTTGTTTTCCAAGATATCAAAGCTGATCCCAGAAAAATACAATAACATGTGAGTGATTTTCTTGTATCGAGACAGGATCCCCAATCTGCATCAGAATACACCTCGAGATGGAACGAATTCTGTGCAGGGAAAAAAAGTCCCTTGGAAGGACATCCCTTGAGATATCGGAGTAGATGCAAAGCTATCTCCCAATGTTCCTGACGTGGAGCATGAACGAATTGGCTTAGTTGCTGAACTCCATAGGTAATATCAGGTCAGGTTAAGTTTAGATAAAGGAGACGCCCAACCAACCTTCTGTACTTTTCTGGATCAGATAACAAGGTACCCTCTAAGGCCATTAACTTCGTGCCCTTTGGTATAAGAACAGGAGCAGGTTTGGCTCCAACGAGTCCTGCATCTTGAACGAGTCCTCTTCATTTGAACCCGTGATGAGTACATCATCAACATAGACCAAAAGGAAAAGAGCTTTCTAGGAAAAGTGCTTAGTAAATAGACAATGATCATGAGCTGACTGATGGAAGCCATAACTCTGAAGTTTGAGACATAATTCTGTATTCCATTGCCATGAGGCCTGCTTCAAACCATACAAACTTCGCTTGAGCCTACAAACCTATCCTGGTAATGCCTTGTTATATCCCTCAGATGGCTACATATAGACCTCCTCATCCAAGAAACCATGGAGGAAAGCATTGTTAATATCCAGTTGGTGAATGGGCCATCCTTTTCCAGCCACAGTTGCCAAAAGAATTCTAACTGTAACAAGTTTAGCTACATGTGAAAAGCTATCAAAATAATCAATTCCTTGAAGTTGATGGTATCATTTTGCAACAAGCATTGCCCTGTATCTATCCATTGTACCATTTGCATGGAACTTTATTTTGTATACCCATTGTTAACCCCCAGAATTGGAAGCTCCAGGTCAGCAGTCCGCGTGGACAGCCACGTATTGCCTTTAGCCAGGTGGACAGAAAGCCAGTTGAAAAGTCAATGGGGGAACCAACACAGGCAAGGTCAACAAAAGGCTCCTAAGTCCGAAGCTCCTTGGGTTCGAAGCAAAGGCTCCTTGGGTCTGAAGCTCCTTCATTCAAAGGCAGAGGCTCCTAAGTCTGAAGCTCCTTCATGCGAATGCGGAAGCTCCTTAAGACCGAAGAACCGAAGCTTAACGCAAACGTTTCCTCATAGCAGATTCGAAGATCTCTCAGAACTGATTGACGTGACATCTACCATAAAGTGTCTACAGCGTTAGTGTGTGTCAGTGAGTCAGTCTACAAAGTAGAGCGGCGGATCTTCTGCAAAACAATAATTGTAAAGATTGGACATTGATGTGAAGCTTCAGTCTAGGGGATGTCGCCCTATGGATTTGATCAACGATCACCACGTCAGCTAGATTAGTATAAATAAACCCCTCATTGTATAGAAGGGGGATAGAGAATCACAAAAGAACATATTTATGCACTTTACTTTGCTTGATCTTGAATAATACAACTCATATTGAGATCATAACACATTACAAGATATTCTCTTTTATCTATCCTTCCACATATTCCATTACAAAACTAATATTCATTTTAGGAAAATCGATCGAGCTCTTGTTGATAGCGCAAGGGCCGTTTAAATCAAACCACCGGAGCTTGAACAGTTGTGTCCCTTGCCGGAAAGCACCTCCCACGTTCCATCCAACCATACTACCGCTCCTGTTCCGGTAGAAACGCGTCGGATCATTGCTTGACGTGGTAAGGGTGGGCCCGGTATCTGTTGAGTTCATTTTTTGGGGTCAACACCCACCTTGAACCAATGGCTCGCTTGTTGGTGAAAGACTGACTAACTTCCAGGTTTGATTAGTCTCCAGTGCATCAAGTTCTTGCTGCATAGCCTTGATCCATTCTTCACTTTTGCTAGCTTGATTATATGAACCAGGTTCCTAAGCAATTGATACATTCGCCAGAAATGCACTATAAAAGGTTTAAGAAGTGGAGAAGCACTAGAGGGAAAAGTAGGTGGAGTATACCCGGTATGAGGTGAAGGGACCCTTTTGCAGCCTGAAATAGCACCAGCAATTGGCAAATCCTGTGTGGCAGTGATATTGGTAATGTAGTCTTGCAGCCAAGATGGTTGTGATTTAGTTCTAGTACTGTGTTTGATGACAGGGATAGGCAATTCAAGATGAGGAAAGGATTCAAAACAATTTTCATATGTAGATTGACTTTTTGGGAAAGGAACTTGGATGAGGGGATTGAATCTGAGGTGATATCAGGGGTAACTGAGACGTCTTGTTGTATTTCTGTAGGAGGTAAAACAAGTAGTGGATCCACAACAATATCATTTTGTAAACTTGCTACATCCTGATCATCATCGGTCCTATGAAACAGAGGTAAAGAGGGATAGGGATTTTCCGATTGATTATGCCTAAAGGGAAAGGTTGATTCAAAAAACTCAATATCCCTGGAGATATGTATTTGCTCAGTATCAATATCAAACACCTTAAACCCTTTTTGACCAGGGCTGTATCCAAGAAAAATACATTTGTGTGACCTTGACTCGAACTTGGTTTTATGTGGCTTGGTATTTGCAATGTAACATAAGGACCAAGGGTCTTGAACAGGGAATAATTTGGTTTGTGTCCAAATAGTTTTTCAAAAGGAGTCTGGCACTTTAGAACCTGGGTTGGAAGTCTGTTAATTATGAATGTAGCCATTAACAAGGAATATGACCACCCCATTTTACTGAGGTGTGTAGCAATTTGGAGTAGGTGTTTGTGTTTTCGTTCTACCACCCCATTTTGCTGAGGTGTGTAGACACATGTTCTATGGTGAATGATGTCAAGCATTTGAAAGATATTTTGACACTCATGACTAAGGAATTCAGTCCCATTATCTGTTCTTATGCATTTAACTCTTTTAATGAACCGTGTTTCCACCATTCTAAAAAAATTATCCAAAGTCTTAGCAACTTGTATCTTATAACAAGCAAGATCATCCAAGTAGACCGACTGAAATCATCAACTATGGTCAGCATATAAGGAGTAGCAGTAAGTGAAAATTGTTTATAAGGCCCCTAAAGGTCAACATGAATAAGTTCAAAAATGGCATGTGTATGAATTGTGCTGATAGGAAAAGGACTCCTTTGTTGTTTAGCCTTATGACATACCTCACAATGCTTAATGAAATCAGATTTTTCTTGGATATGTTTGAGGAAATCTAAGTATTGCATAGTATGATATGAAACATGTCCAAGTCTATTGTGCCATTCAAGAAATTGATCGATGGATGAGGAATTAGAAACTTTATTGATATCAAATGTCTGATTACATGAAGTAGTACATTTAGGGAATTTGGTTTGAGCTGTCAGTCTATCTCTATTTCTTCTGTCGTTGAAAATAAAGCTAGACTCATCTAACAAGTATAACTTCCCTACAAGCTTGCCAACTGGCAATACCTTTTCATTCTGCAGGTCCTGCAGTAAACAAAAGTTATGATAGAAAGTTAATTTTAGCCTTGATGTTTGGGTGATTTTTAGCACTGATAGAAGGTTAAATTTGAAACTTGGAACATATAAGGTATCAATTAGATGCAATTTGGGGTTCAATGCAACATTTCCTACGTGGTTGACTGTTTAATTAGTTCCATCAGGTAGGCAAATAAGAGTAGGTTGTGCGACAAGGGTCAATTTTGTCATTAGATTCAAATTGGTGCAAATATGGTTGCTAGCTCCTGTATCTATTATCCAAGTCCCTAGTTTCACATGCTCAAACATAGCAAAAAATGAATAATCTGAACTCATACCTGCATAATCTCTAATGTGAGAAAAGTTCACCTTATTCTTAAGCTCCATCATCCTCTTTTCTTTCCAAGACTTTTAGCACTTCCTGTGTGACCAAATTAGCTAAGTCTGTAGATGCTATCATATCCACTTTTTTGTTCTGATTGTCCTGAGAATCCTCAAGATCCAGGGTTGTGTTAACCATATTTGCTGTAAACCGTCCGTCTCCAAAACTTCTAGACCTCTGTTCCTTTGGCATTTTGAACCAATCTGGATATCCTATCAACTTGAAACATCCATCTCTTGTATGGCCTTTCATACTGCAATGATCAAAGTGATATAGTTCCTTTTCATTACCAAATCTCCTATTGTTTCCTCTGCTAGTACCAAACCTCCCCGCATTTCTATTAAAACCACCTCTATTTCCGTTGTCTCTCCTATAATCCATGTACTTAGCTAACATTGCTGTATTATCATTTGAATCAGGGAAAATGCTGTATACCTCTCTCTATTTTTCAACTCTTAGAACCATGGAATATGCTTTATTGACAGAGGAAAGCGGATCCATGACCAACACTTGATTCCTAATGTTATCAAAAGTATCATTCAATCCCATTAGAAAGTGCATCAGCTGATTGGAAGCAATCCTCAACCTCCTTAGATGTTGTACAAGTGCAGGTAGGTATTGGCATCAAACATGTTAACTCGTACCAAAGTTTTTTAAGTTTGGTATAATATTTCTCAACTGTCAAAACTCCTTGTGAAAACACTACTGATTTCTCTTTGTATCTGATATAACATAGGGCCATTGCATTTACCATACCTCTCTTTTAATTCTAACCAAAGGTCCTTTGCTGATTTAGTATAGAATGCTTCCACGATATCTTTGGCAATAGAATTCAATAACCATGACCTAATCATACAATCTATCCGGATCCATTGTTCGATTTTGGACACATTCTCTGTAGGTTTCTCACACCTTCCATCAAGGAAACCCAATTTCATCTTAGCTCCTAATGCTATGATGATAGAACTACTCCAAATAAGGTAATTTCTACCAGTCAGTACTGAAGTAACTAAAATCATACCAGGATGATCTGAATTTTGAAGATCTAATGGATCTCTATTTGAATACTCCTTTTCTGTTGCTTCATTCTCAGTTTCTGATCCGGATGTATTTTGTGTCATTTCTTCTTCAGCTGATCAATTAGTTTTCAATTAGACATTTCTGAATTTTGCCTGCTCTGATACCATGAACAAAAGCTAGCTGAAGGAAAATATAGAGAAGACGATTTTATTTAATCGAATAATCTTGAACGGAATGAGAGCAATTGCTGAATATATAGACACAAAGGAAAACCCATTGTCCAATAGCCAGCAGACACCTCATCAAAGTAAAACGGCACTTACATAAAATGGAAAGAAGAAAACGTAACATGAAAAACACGCCTAATGACTAACGGCTATTGGCATATGTATTTCTTGCAACCAGCAGAAATTGAAGTTGATTAGCTGACTCTTCCATTATTCTTTCAGAGTGAGCAGCAGGGTTGGGAATGGTACTGGGCAGCACAGTTTCCAGCCCAAGAATCGACCAACTGCGCATCGATGCCGGCTAAGTTGCAAAATACCATTGTAGACATGTGTTGCATGTTCTGTGTTCAAAATCTACATGTTATGTGGGTACATTTCAAGGTCTTAGATATCTTTTCTCAAAAAACACTCCCAGATTTTGGTGCAGCATACTTCCTCCACAAGTCAAAGATTTAGAGATAAAATGATGTATCTTGTGGCCTCAACTCTTGTACTAACCACACTTGTAACAGCAGGTGTGTTATCTCGAGGCCGAGAAAAGCAGAACTCAAGAGATGTTATAGTGAAAGAAGGGCATTGGGTAGTGGTGGTTGTGCAGTGCAGATACGAAGGCCTTGGTCCATTACAAGTGAGGCGATCACCAGAAAGCGAACAATTAATCACCCGGATATTGGGCCATGCGACTTGCTGCAGGGTTTAATATTATTCTGCTGCTTGCTTTATTTTGCAGTAGATTAAAACAGATGACTGCTTCAGTGTTTGGTGGTTCATTATTTCAGACAAAAGATATTAGGTATCGTCACTTTCTGTGGTATTGTTTGTTTCATAATTTCCACTGCTGCATTGAGTAAAGTTTCAATTTCTCCATAAGAAGTTGATGATTAAGCTTTGAATGAGAATTAACTGAAAAAAAAATGGACGGGAAGAAACAAGAAACTTCTCAAAATTCAGTGGGGGCAATTTCACATCATCAAACAAGTTGCGGCATGATTATACCATGCAGACTCGTTGGACTTGCCTATGATGCAAGGTGTTAAAATTCTTAAGGAATTCTGCATCCTGACTAGCCCCAATTATATTAACAACATGAAAATGTATCTATAAATCCCGAACCTTAGCAAGAACGTCATCATACTCATCGTCCAAAAGGAGGTGAATACTAAATACTTATATATTTGAAGGATGATTTGCAGTAAGAGCAATGGATTTTAGCTGGATTTGGCAAAGGAAGGTAATGTTGCTGTACAAGTAGGACCATGGCCCCCTTGACACTTTTGATTCTCATTTTACCCGCTTCTGTTTCTATATTTCTTTTCTCAGAAAAAGGATCAAGATGCTCCTCCACCCCCACTCTCTTGCTCCAATGAATTAGGCTATTGTACCTTACCTCCTTAGTCCTCTACTATATAATATTTCCTGTTCTTAGATATCTCGTTTTGAGATTCTAGCTTCTCACATGGTAAGGATGCAGCTTGAACTGTATACATGATTACAGAAACTAGGTGGTCTCAAAAAACTCTGGACAAACTCAAACTGTAATAACGAAATAGTACAAAACAATTTTCATACTAAATCTTCAACAAGGCAAAAAAGCTTACAATAGCATAATTATACACTTTTGAAATTTGAAAGGCTTCCTTCCATTGACAAAGAGCTGAGTTTCAAACTTAAAGACAGCGAACATGAAAACAAACTTAGCCACAAATGCCAACACCATCTCAAATTGATGCGAGGGATCTACCTATGTTGGAAGTCCAAGCATAAGAAGAAAATCTCTCTCTCTCTCTCCACCCCCCCCCCCCCCCCCCCCCCCCCCCCCCCCC